TAAAAAAACTTTTCTTAACTCATTTAAACACAACCTATGTAAGAAATGATCAATCTCATCTAATATGGTTACAAAACAACATATAATATAGCTCATAGATCGAAATATTAAGAATTAAAATGAGAAATTCATATTTTATAATAAATTCATAAACAAATCATATGTGATCCTAGGCCTCTGGCCAACTACCAGCATGCATATCACAACAGTACAACTCAAAGGATATAATACATCATAATGCATGAATCAATTAAACACAGTTTATCCTAAGGTGGCAATATACAGGATACAATATAACTTATAAATCGAGGAAACACTACAAGTCATTAATGTAGCTTTACTCCTCTTGAGTCTTCCCTGACGTCCCCCCTCTAAAACTTTCACCTGAAAAATGTTAAACAATAGGGATGAGACAATGTCTCAATAACTAAAACCCTACCTATCACACACACTAGCATGGGCTAGTAAGGTGTCAGGTGGGATACACCGAGTCAAAAACAATCAATAGACATTTATTTAACAGTTAAACTCACAATAATCATATAAGTCGAATATTTCTACCAATCTCATACAACTGATAGTTTCAAAAGAGATACCATACTTTTCATTTTATTCAAAAGATATAAACATCAAATGAAGAGACCATGTCATATGAAATCCATGAACCCAAATCCATCCTTATATCCTCCTTATTTCCGCCGATTGGACCCATGGGCTAAGTTCTTTCCATCTAACTGGCTACTCTGACAAGCTCACCAGTTGAGTGATATGGACCGGCCAAAGACCACAGAGCACTCGGTAGACCATGGGTCCCCCCTCGAAGAACTAGTGGGGTGTCGCAGTCCCTCAAAGAACTACTGGGATAATAATAATAGCCAACCATAGAGCTCCGTGTGGAGGCCGATAGCACGTGGTAAGTATATGCGTCTCAATAACTCCAATCATCTCCTTTCCCCCACCCAAACTAGATGCACAAGGTTTAAAATAACATATTTATATGCATAATCAACCAAATTCCAGAATAACACCTCATAGTCATAATCATTAATTTCTAACAATACAAACGATTTCAATCCTTTTCAAAACAGTATCCCACAAGACAGTTCATACAAAACATAATATATGTATACGAAAATTAGTTATAAAATCACTCACCAACCTCATATCAATGCATGTAACAGATAGAAATTTAGTTACCTGGTCTTCTAGCTAACAATCAAACACAAACGAGGCCCATACTCGAAAATGCCACAATAGGGTTTATATCTACAATTGAAATTAAAACATTATTTCTATAGTATTAGAGTAAACTACTCACAAATTTCTAATCTTTAACGCTCCCTATTAGCATTCAGCTATTACTCGAAATTCTAGCTTGAAAGGCTTTTTCTAAGGTTTTGGGGAAGAACATATATATGATGATTTATATTCAATTCCTAGGCTCCCTTAACTTACATTATATTTAATTATTAAATTATATCATTTGAAGCACCAAATTCATAATCTAGATAGAGAACCCTCAATTTATAACTTATGTTCTATCTTCAAAAAATTTAGACAGAAAACCTCAATATGAGTTAATTTATTCTTACTGTAGAAGCCTAATTATTAATCCAACCGTTGAATTTAATGTCTTACATGTCACAAGACTACTCTCTAAATTTCAGGTTAATCCAACGGTGAACAAATTTAAAAACACTAATTTACTATCTCGTATTCTATCAACTAGCTCTAAAAAAATAAATAAATAACGCACCTAATAACTTGTAACTCAGACATTGAATTGACGATCCAACTGTTAAAACTAATGAGTTTGAAGTCTAGGATCAGCTGACCAAATTACAGCCCGATCCAACAGTTTAGAAACTCGTAAACAGCACTTTACTAAGATTGTCTTAGTTTTGTGCGAAAATTATTTAATTCATCTTTAACTCTCCCTTACTACCACCTACATATAGGCTCCTAAAGCTCTCTCTTCCCATCATTTAGTCGATGTGAGACTTTTTAATATTGCTATTTTATTCATCTTCCTATCATTTAATCAATGTAGGACTTCTTAACATTGCTATTTTATTCATTTTCTTATACAGACACACACACACACATAAAATCAGAATTATTTTAATTACATATATATATTTAACCTCTACCTATTCTATAAAAATTTGTTTAAATATTAGATATATGAAAATTAGGATGTTACATGCCTTCTCTTGAGCATTGACTTCCTTTTCAACATCTTTCTTTTTATATTTCTCTTTTAAACAAAGGTGATTTCCAAATTGGTTAAAAGACATATCTTCTTTTTTATGTTTGAGACTCTTCGAAGTCTTTCCATGAAGGAAGAAGTTTTTTTATGATTGAGGAGACAATAATGGACTCATCCGTATGTACTTTATGTTGTTTGATTTCAAAATATATTCAATTTCATGCATTTGCTCCATGGTAGACTTTCCATCAACCATTTTACAATTATTGAAATGAGTGACGAGAAATTTGTTACTTGTAGCATTCTCTTGCATGTACCTTACCTCAAGTTTGTCTCAAAGATCCTTTGCAAAGGTTGAATCTAGATAAACATCAAAGAGAACATCATAGAGGCTGTTGAGGATTGTTCGATACAAATATAGTCATCATTCTCCCACTTCTATCTCTCTCTAATTTCAGCAATGGTTTCATCTTTTTTTTCTTGAGGTTTGGGAGTAGTGAGAACATAGGTTACGTTTAAAATTATGAGAAGAAATTTTATCTTCCTCCACCATCTCAAAAAATTACCTCCTTCAAATCTATCTAACTTCACAAAATTTATAGTCAACTCCTTCAAAGAAGTCACTGTACTTGCATAAATTAAGCTTAAAGATTGTTGACGGGAATAGTTCTCTGAAAAGTACAAGAAGAAATGAAGAAAAAAGTGGTGCACAATGCCTTTAAAGATAAGCAGCACCTTTTTTTAGGCTTAGTTCACTCCCACCTATTCTTATCTTATAAGGTGCAAGTTGAGTTAACTGACGAATTTCTTTTAGGATACAATGAGGTCCCTTAGATATGGATTGTACTTCCAAGATTCAAGCCAAGACAATAATAGCCGTTACAAAGGTTATAATTTGACTATATCTCTATGTACACTCAAAAACAAAAGCAATGAGTTTGGTCTTAGTGTGTTTGTGTTGTATTGTGTGCAAATAAAGTGATGGTGAAGAGTTTATATAGATCATTGAGTGATGCCTTAAAAAGATACCTTTTGGAACAATACCTTATTAACTAAAAAATCACAACCTTATGTTGGTTCATGAACCAACATATTTAAAAAAATGAAAAAAATATTTAATACGTAAGGGTTTTTTTTTTTTAGTATTGTAACTTTTTACGTAACTCTTCATATAAATATATTAATTTATATGAAGACACAACACTTCAAATAAATTTATTAATTTATATGAAGATATAACCATGCATATAAATTTATTAATTTAATAAATTTACGTAAAGACATGACTTTTCAAAAACACATCTCTTCATTATAAAAATATTTTAATAATAAAAACATGTTAATTTATTTAATGCGGATTATTTTTTTTTATCATGTAGTGTATGAATGACGTCACTTTCCAAATATTTAAATCATCAACATAAAATACAAAATTATATCAAGCAATGTTTTTATAAATGAAAAAATAATATAGTATATTCAAAATTAGGCGTAATATTTATATATATTACATATGAATAACGTAGCGAAAGAAACGTGTCCATAGATCCGAAAGTTTGAGAAGATACGCAAGCAACAGGGAACCGCAAGGAAGATCCAAACATTAGACAATTACCTATACCCATTTTCAAATAATTTGTAAATAATTTTTCAATCATAATTTATAGAATTTGAGGTAAATATACATGATAAACACTTATACAAACAACCTCTTAGCTTCTTTCTACTGGATATCTGTTTTCACTTTTCTTTTTTTTAAAATTTTATAACCGCTAAAATTTGGTGGCTTAAATTCACTTTCTCACAAAATACAGCATTCAATAAGAATACAAACAAATGAAACAAACAACCCGACGAATAAGCTAAGCGGCTGCATGTTTCATAGCTTATTCACAATCCTACTTTGTATAATTAACTTTATAGATATATTTATAATTATTATATTAAACACTTTTGGCCAAAAAAAATAACTATATAAAACACACTGTCATTATGAATTTCTACAGTTTTCATAGATATTAATAAAGAGAGTGAAATATCCCATTGATTTAATGGTTATTAAAGTAATATTAAATGTAAAATTTAGTTAAGCCTGAGCTCTAGATGAAGTTTCAAGATACATCACTAATCATTGAATCTGGATTGTTCCCACTTTATTGATAATCTGAGTCATCATAAGGAGGATGGGATAAGCGTAGCATCTCCTAACTTCTCGAATCGGTAGTCATAAACATGTTGTAATGGTAATAATAATAATAGTAGTAGTAATAATGAAAGCAGTTGAAATTTGAATTATCTAAATTTAATTTAAGATAACTGAAATTTATGTGTTTTTTTAAAAAAAATTTGGTAAAAAAATCTGGATTGTTGAAATTATTGTCTTCTGTTTTTAATATAAAATATAGTTGACTAATTTAAAAAGATTAATAAAATTATAAAATTACTTAATTACAACATAAAATATTTTCATGTATTATTATATTATATAATAATAGTAGCAAATTAGTTTTAAAAAAAATACAAAAATTTATTAACTTTTTAAATTTTTTCAAGTAAGTCAACTCAATTTTATATCAAGTACAAGAAGTGGTATAAAGGTGAGCACCAAAATTAAGCATAGAAATTAGGGTTTGTTGGAGGGAAGGATGAGGTGGGGGTGCGTGGTGGCTGGCATGAGAAGGTATTTGCCACGTAATGGGTGAAAATGCCATGTGGCACTTATGACCTCCCCCATAAATACCGCATTACTCCATCATCCTCTTCCCGTAGCTCTCACAATCAGAAACCAAAAATGGCGGATGTGAGATCAAACGCCGCCGTTTGCAACGACAGGTGCGGCTGCACCGTTCCCTGCCCTGGGGACACCACATGCAGGTCTCTGCCTTCTCCATCTTCTTCTTCTCCTTTCGCTTCTTATTGATAATAATTATATGAAATTTGTGTTCTGAATTAATTTGGTATGAATGTGTGGTTTATAATCAGGTGCGCAAGCAGTGGGGGGAATGAGACGAGCAGTGGGAGGGATCACTTGACGTGTTCTTGCGGCGAGCACTGCGGCTGCAACCCTTGCTCCTGCCCCAGCACCGTCGCCGCCGGCTCCGCCTGCCGCTGCGCCACCGGTTGCTCCTGCGCTTCATGCCGCTCTTGATCAACCCATGAATTTACGAATATATATAATAATCAATTATATATGGCTTAATTAGGCTTCTCGTCATAATAATAATAATAATAATAATAATTTTGTACTTCGCCCTCTATCTATTATTATGAATAAAAATCTATGCTTACATTACTCATGGAAATTTCTTCCATCTGCCACTGTACTTCCTCATTTTTGTTCTGTATGTTTCTTTTTCGTTTTATAAATTAGAGATTAATTAATTAGTTCGTTCAGGAGAGTAATGAATGCAATAATCCTATAATTCTTTGTTCTTATGATGCCGTAGTGGGATCATCCACTGCTTTCGATTCAGTCTTAAATATAGGAATGGATAACCTAAGTATAATTGTTGAGGACACAAACAATTCTTGGCCACTTAATACCTCTATAAGATTTTTACTCAAGATCTTAACCAACTAATAGCATCTCAATATTTCCAACATCTTCTCGAAAATGATGTGCCTTATCTTTGGGATTTAAAGGGATTTAAAGGGCCTAATAAAAAGAAGTAAAAAGTTCGAAGACATGATTCAAAATTAAGAAAAACTATAAAAATTCCCAAATTAATTTAGATTAATAAAATTTTTAATTACTCATGTTTGTATTATTTTTGTTTTGATTCTTTAAGTTAAACTTATAGGTTTTGATCCTTAAAGAGTAAAATAATTCAAATTTTTATTGCGTTATATAAACCAATATTTTAAATTTTAAGTTCAAATTTTTATTGCGTTATATAAACCAATATTTTAAATTTTAAAAAAATTGAGAGACTAAAATTTATAGTTTGAAATTTTAAAAAATCAAAATTAAAATAAAGAGAAAAAATGTATTAATCCAATTAATTTTTACTAAGGCGTTGAAGAATATACACATACATTCCATACTGTCACATTTGGCAACAAAATTGCGTTAGAAAAACAACCGATGGTGCCAGCTCGAATACAAATGGGAAAAAAACAGAAAGAAGGAAAGAGGATAAAGTAAAATGAGGACAGCCTTATCGATCTGGCTGAAACCCTCACCCTCACCCTCACAGCGCGGGTTGGGCTGGCTTTTTTAAATTAATTTCATTAAAAAAACGAAAAAGTACCCCATCTAGTCATGAACCAAACAAACAAAAGAGGGAATTATGAAGTTTAAAGTATAATTGGGCCCAAATCCAAAAAAAGTTGAGGCGGCCATTAGCTTTATACAGTGACGGCCCAATGCACAAGGCTCCTACCAGGTAGGATCTGGGAAGAGATAAGATACGCAATCTTTATCTTTGCAAGCGGAAAGACCATTTTCAGGATTTAAACCCGTGACCTCTCAAGTCACTAGACAACACCTTTGACCTGTTTGGTAAAGCGGTGAAAATCCACTATAAACTAGTTTCACGTAAATCGAAAAAAATTCTTCTCACATACTTGTCTCATATTTTGTAAATCAATATTGAAAAGCAGTTTATAAATTACTTCTAAACTGTTCCAAACGAATCCTTAATCATTACTTCAAGGCTCACTCCCTTGACATATCACATAGGAATTGTTGCAAATACTGCGACAAGTAAGTCACAGCAAATACTACTTCTAGTTCTCAATATAAAAACTAGTTTAACATAATATTTAATTTGATCTTAAATATAAGAATTCAATCCACTTTTTCTCTCATATTTATCTATTTTTTTCAAAGTAGTCCTTATAATAGTTGCACATGTTAAAGATTCCATTAAATGATAATTTTAGCTAATATATATTATTAGTAAGACTATTTAAAGGAAAATAACATCTACTACCTCCAGTCCTTAATATAAGACCTTATTTAAATTTTATTTTGGTTCTAAATATAAAATTCTAATCTACTTTGTCTCTCATATTTATCTATTTTTTTTTCAAGATAGTCCTTTAATAATGGTAGTTCTAGATAACAAATTTGATTAACAAAGATATTTTAGGAAAAATAATACATTTATTACAAATAACTAATTTAACTAAGTTCCTTAATCTCCCCAGTTTAGTCAACTGTGTCTTATAATTAGGAGTGAATGTAGTATTTCTTACAAATAACTAACTTAACAAACTTTCTTAATCTACTCAACTTAGACAACTAATTTTTATATTAAGGACCAAAGACAGTATAATAAAAAAAAAAAACGCATAAAGGACAAACCCAGAGCCCATGCCAGTTTTGCATAGCCTTCACCATCTTCCGTGAGAAGATTGAATTTGGTCTGTTGATAAAGAAGCCGTGTATAAACTCTGACCGCTTGGATTATTTTCTCAGTGGTAATTACATTCTAAGTTGCAGCATTTGTTTAGAAATAAAAAGGGTGTGATTTATATGCATTCGAATATTCAAATTATTGACTTTGTTAATTTTTCACGACAAAGTTAATTGGCTAAGTTGCATAACTCTAAATAATACTCCCTCTGGTCTCACATTTAGACCCGGAGGAGTATCCAACTATACTCACACAGTAAATAATTCAGTCATATTAACAAGCATTTCATGAAATGGGTAATGACCATTCAGGTATAAGATCTCATATTTAAATCTATATAAACATGATTAACAAGCAATCTACATGCATCAACAAATACTTATTTCACTAGATGAGATCAGCTACATGAATTGCATCATATGTTTAAATAAGTTGTTAATCGAAATATTTCTTATTGATTTTACCAAGTGTTTTTTCAGTCTTCCTTTGTCTCTTTTAAAAAGACTCCAAACTACTTGATCGACTCTTTTCACCGGTATATCTAATGAACATGTTCAAATACACACATATAATGTATATATATATATAAAACAAAAAAAAGTCTTTTGGAGAGTTATACTTTTTTAAAAGTCTGATGACATTTGAAACTGACATATGAATTTTAAATATTAGATTCCCTATTAAGAAAGTTAAATTAATCATTAAAAATTACGTAATTTCACATAAATCAATAATGATTCAACCCGTAAACAGTGCACGTCTTTTATTTATTTTAGGCAAAATTAGACAAGAACTAATATAGTTTTAGATTTCATGTCATAGTTAGAGCTAATTTCATGCATTTACATGAAGTTCGAGATCAATAATATTATTCACAATTTCCAACCATCTAACTATATATTTTTTATATTTTATTTAGTACTATAAATTTTATAAATATAATATGACAAAGTACATCTTATACAATTATTTTGAAGGACAAACAATATAAAAAACTGTCATACTAATTTATTTAAATAGCATGACCTTTAATGTCAATAGATTCTTGCTCTCATAATATAAAATGGTTGCATGCATATGTACAATAACAATAATAGTAAGAACAACAATAACAACAACAATTATTATTATTATTGTTATTGTTATTCCTATTATTATTATTAGTACTACTACTTTAATAACCCTTTCACCCCAATGATTAACAACATAAAAAATTTTCCTTTAATATATTATTGATTTAGTAATGAATTGATTATCAACTAGAAATCATAACCATGATATAATTAATGAATTGATTAATAGTGTAAAGGTCAAATGTGCTTCCAATTATTAGGGCACATGGGGTAGGTTTTGGCAGTGAAATATTACAAGCTGTATGGCTGGCTGCTACTATACTATTCCTTGACTTTTAGATTATTAATTTAATTAATTTAATTTAAAGAATAAAAAGGAAGAAGGCAGGCTTGGTGACGAAATGTTGCGATCTAATTGGTCTGTGATGGAATTAGGAGTCACTGACAGTCAGAATATCAAAGGATTTCCCACGGTTTCGAGCGTATCAGGCAGCCACAAGCCCCTTGGTTTCGTGAATTTCTTGTGATATAGTCTGGTAGACGTCGCACCGACCTACACAAACATTATTATATTATATTCTATTCGTATTGTAGGATTTATCATTTATATTTTTTTATATCTTTATATTTATTAGGGACAAAGAAGGGCAAACCACAAAGCCCACGCTGACAATATAATATAATATTACGATATAGGTGGGCATATATAATAGGTTTAACTCACAAATTTGTTTTCAAAATTTTTATTTAAGAATGCTGGATACTTGAAAGTATTTTTGTGTAAAAACTTACTCTAAAAATTTAAAATCATAACAATATTTTTTTATCATTAGAAATGTTTAATGATTAATGTCACTATTTTAATAATTAATATTAGTTTTTTAATAATATCAATTCCTTTATATATGATCATTGCTCATCCACGTACAAGAGATGTTCATGGCGTCTTTAGTGTACGAAATTTATGTTTAGTACAAAAGAACATTAAATATTGAAAATGAAAAATAATCTTGACAACATGAATAATGCAAAAATATTTTAGATGGTATATATCGGTATTAAATTTTGGCTAAAAAATGTTAATTAAAATATAATAGATATATCATTTTTTAAAAAATGTACTCTACCAGTTTTAAATGTAATACTCATTTTATAGTGGGTCTTACGTTTAAGATCATAGAGAGCATAGTTTTTTGTTTCTTCTTCCCTATGCTAAGTATGAGGATACTGATTCTAATTAAGCAAATTTTTGTGTATAATAGCAAATTTGAGATAATTTGTATTATTTATAATTTACAATTGAATATATTTTTTATAAATTATATTAGATAAATGTACTGATACTCATCAAAAAAAAGATAAATGTACTGATATATTGATTTATTAGTCAATAATTTAATGTATGTACGTATAATATGTTTGTGTGAATTAATATACATTCATCGTCAAATCATTATTGATGCTTTTAAAAGGAGTTATTTTATTTTATAATTAATACTACTTCCGGTCTTTAATATAAAAGCTAGTTGATTAATTTAAATTTGTAATAAATATGTGTTGTCTTTTTTAAAATATCCTTAATAATCAAGTATATTGGTTAGAACTACTATTATTACAAGGACTATCTTGACAAAAAATAGATAAATATGATAGACAAAATAAATTAAGATCTTATATTTATTATCAAAATAAAAGTCAAACGAGCCCTTATATTAAAGACCAGAGGTAGTATAATGTGTTTACTTGATAATAATATGATGCCATGCGACTGA